ATTTTCAAAGAACATGATTGAAGAGGGACCAGAACCAAGGCTGGTCTGCCCCAGGATGGTCCGGAATGTAAACCATTTGCAACTAAGTGTTCACGGTTAGGGAAGATAAAACCTTGTGATTCATTAGGGGACTTTAAATTACCAAATTGTTTGGCCTTGTTTAATTATTTTGTCTCAGTTCCCCTTTTTCTACTTGCCCTAGCTTCCCCCTGTCCTGCCTCACTATCACCATGATTCAGAGGAGAAAATTGAGTCTCAGAGAGTTTAAGAAATTTATTCCAGATTGTTCAGCTAGAAAGTATCCTGGAAATGATCACAATTCACATGAAACACAACCCAGAATATCCTTGTTCAGCACCTTGAAATAGTTTTCATTTGCTACTGTAAGAGAGAAAACAGTTTTCTTCAACCCCTTTAAGATCCTTGGCTGGGCTTGAATATTAAACTGACAAAGACAGATTAACAGGAGAAAAGTGTACAAATTTTATTATACTTTTGTGCAGACATGAGAAAGAGACTTCACAAGAGAATGGAGACCAAAGAAGTATCTAGAGCAGGAAGCTTTTATATCTTTAGACAACAATAAATTTGTAAAAAAATGAGAGGTCAAAGGGGTTTGAACTAGAGGCAATAAATGGTGGAAAAGTAACTAGAAAGAAAAGGGTTAGTTTAATAAGGTTTGTTTATAAAGCTGAATTTTACTTCAGAGCTAAGCCTTTAACCACTTACCTTTTATCCACTAAGCCTGTTAACTTGAATGATACTTGAGCTGATCTAGATTGTTTTAATGAAACCTTGCTTAAATTACCTTGCATAAATTAACCATGTTGAGGTCACAAAGGGTACGAAGATATCCTAAAAGAACAAAAAATATTTTCAGTAGGCCCATCTAAAACAAGAATATATGGAAGTAGCCTGAGTTAGCTCTGTTTGCTTGTACTAGGTACATAAACTCAAAAGAAAACTTGATTTAAAAAGTTCAATCTAAAACAGTGCAGGTAGCATCAATGATTCATTAACACATAATGAGCGGGGTGGGTTGTTTCAATACCTTTGAAGGTTGAAGAGGAGAGCATCTGCCTTTACTCATTAGCCAATCAGGCTCTGAAGCCACTACTTAAAGCCACTTCCTGTTTCTTAGCTTTCTCTCTCTCCAGTTAGTGGTGGTGTGGTAAGTGTGCCCTTACTTTTGCCCCCAAATTGTTTAGAATTTATCTTCCATTTGAGCCATGTGTGTCCTGGTGGCAGGCCTTCATTTCAAGCCAGCACTGGGTGGTATGCGTTAGTCATAAGGCAGTTAAGTTTGGCTGGTGAACATTGAAGGGAGGCAGTGAAATGTTCTGCCTGGCTTGATGCCACGTGGGCTCCTGCTATACTGGGTCTGCCTTCCTTCTCAAGACCTGGCTCCATGCACGCAGTGCATGTGTTCCTGGATAATGCTTGGATTCACTTTACTTGGTGGAAAAAGTATTGTTATTAGCCTAGCCCTGTTTTGAATTCTATCTCTGAGTGATTCGATAGATCTTGGGAGGACTTCAGACCCATACTTCTTAATTTTTCTGCGTCTGCAGGGCCCAGCTCCTCACTGGGCTTGTGGAAACTGCAGGGGATGTTGTCTTTGCTCAGAGCCTTCCACTTTTCTTAGAGAGACTAAGCAGCAAACTCTGAAGTCAGATGATTTTAGTGAGCCCGAAGAGGAGATACCAGTTTTAATGTGAAGATGCTCTAAGAAGCTTAAGATGTACTAAAAAAGGTCAGGGGCCTTAGCTTAGTGCAAGGCTAAATCAAATTCTAGTGCTTCAGTTTATCATTCCAGTGACTTTTGGTGAGTCAGTGAAATGTTCCCAGGCTCAGCTTTTGAAGATCAAAATATATGAAGGCCAGGCACTAGTTGGTGTATATATAATAAATGTTAGGTAAACTTTTAAAAGTAAGTGATGCATTTATTTAGTATGTCTTTTTTTCTCATAAATAGTTTTGCCAAGTGACCCTGAGTGTAATTTCACCTGATGCCCATTTTTCTCTTTAATATATGTTAGTTTGAATAAAATATTTGTATTTGTTAGCCTTATAGGCAGAAGGTATGAGAAAGACGTCAACTAGTATATGGAATGTAGTAATAGCTGGTTGTAGGCCTCCTATAATTTTTATGATTTTCAGGCTTTATTAGAGTAAGGTGATTTTTTGAATAGGCAATACATTCATGTAGTTCAAAATTCAAAAAGGATCAAAGTATATTCAAGTGAAGTCTGCTAAGCCTGCTGATTCCCCTCCCCAATACGTGTTAGCAGTTTCCCGTGTATCTTTCCTGAGCTATTTTATGCAGGTATAAGCAAATATATGCACTTACCCCTTTCTCTTCTACATACATACTCTGCCATGTACCTTACTTTTTCTGCCTAAGATTTCCAAATGAGTAAATAAAGAGCAATCACATTCTTTATAATGGTTACATAGTCATCTAATGTATGTATGTAACCATAATTTATTTAATCTTTATTGTTGGACATTTAAGTAGTGTGCAGCCTTGTTATTTCTTCCAAAATGAATAATCTTATATATAAGTTAGTTGTCACCTACAACATTTCAGTTGGGTTTTGATATACAGGGTCTGGCAGAAGTAAGGCCTCCTTCAGTGTGGTTGGTAGGGTAATAATATGGGTGTAATAGTTTATAGTTTTATTTTGAACATTTCACCTAAAATGCCATATGGTGTTCTTGAGTGTGATATCATTGTGCTTACGATTTTGTAATAAAATGTTTTGTAATAAAAGATGGGCATTATTTGTACCGGATGCTAGATACTTGTTTGTAAGGACTCTCAGTGTGTAGTGTTTCCTGTTACTTATATTTACTATGTACACACAGTGATGTCTAGAAAGAAACCAACACCATAAATATCTTGATTGAGCAGTAAAGAATATTCTATTAAAAGCAACACTGTGCTGATGGCTTTTATGTGAGTACCTCTTTGCCCACTTGAGTTTAAGGGATCTAATGCTGAGAAGGCACGATAACACTAACCAGAGAAGCCACGTGGCCTTTGCGTTCACCAGGGCAGAAGGAGCACGCTGTCAGTGCTTACTTAGCAAACCGTGTGCTGGTACCTTCCTGAAATGATGGTGTTGAGTGAGTAAACTCACATCTTAACATTGTTAGAAAAAAACAGAAATGTTTTTTGGGGTATAAACATGCAAAATAAAATTTTAAAAAAAGGAAGCCTCTGGGAATTCCTCCAAAGCTATTTTTAAAGTCTTAGAAGGCTAAGATCATGTCTTGTGAAACATCTAGTTTTTCAGTTAGAAAGCTGACCAATTGAGAGAAAAATTAGTTTCTTTCTGGTGTAAGTATGATTTTGTTGTTGAGTAATTTTCCATAGGATACATTGGAGTCTTCACTATTTAGTAGGGAATGGGGGAAAGGAGGAAGTAAATTCTTTTTCTTAAAAGATGCCACACCTTGGATTTGGAAGGGACCTTATGAGTGTATGAGTGACTTTCCTGGCTTTAAGATTGTCATGAAAAATGTGAAATTTTTAGGCAGAATATTTGTATTTATACTCACTAGGTGGTTGAGCTTGGACCCTCAATAGAAACAACATATTAAAGTATTTTATATTTTACCTCACTTAATTTTCACAACAGTTATTAGAGGTAGGTGGTATTTGTCCTCATTTTATAGTAAGAGTACCTGAGGCTTAGAGAAGTTGCATAACTTGCCCAAAGTCACAGCAAATATATAGGGGACACAAGATTTAAATCCAGTTCTGTCCAACGTAAATCCATTATCTTAACCACTGAGCTAAGTTACCTGCCATTAAGGCTCTAACCTTGCTTACATTATTTGTAAAATGGAGATGACATAGTACTTGCAAAATGAGGTAACATATGAAAAGTGCTTTATATATTGTAAGATAGGCAAAGTATGAGGTAGATAAAAATATCAAGATAACAGAGTAGAATGCTTTACTTCCTCTTGCATTATGGTTTCAAGTTAAATTAATTCCTGCTATTTTGACCCAAAGCATTTCATTTGCTCCACCAGCAATGTGACTGGTCGAAATGGTGGTTTCTTGGGGTGAACTACGTGGGTCAGTCATGTTTCTGATCTCAACACGTTTATTTCACTTATGCTCAGAGTGAATTCATCCTGCACTGAAAGGTTAAAAGAATCACTGTTCTTGGCTAAAATAGCTGACAGTGGCTGGGGAGCCAAACCAAGTTTGTTTGATAGTAGTGCCCTATCTCTGAAAAAGAACTATGCCAAGCAACCAATTTAGCATATACTTCCTCTACAAAGTTTTGTATTTTCCTTTGCTTCAGGTTGAAGATGGAATCCACTGAAGAAGAAAGACCGGGGTCTTCAGCACTCTGTGCTAGCCCAGAAGTGGCACTGCGAAAGCCTCTATGTAACGTCTGCTACAGACCCCTTAAAAATCAAGTGGGCTTGGATTTAGACATTCTCAGTAAGAATAGTTACAGGCTGATGGGACCATGAAGGCAAGTACTTCAATTCTGACCAAGCTATGATGCCTTAAAGTGTTCTCTGTCACAGGAATAGGTGTCTTTTCTATCTAAAAGAGATAGGTTCTTTGAGTTACTGTACTAACCCAAATTGCTAGACACACAGTAGGCACTGAGTAAAATTGAGTGGTAATATAATAAAACAGAAGTATCAGTTAATTTAGTATTAACAGTTTTTAGTTTGTATCAGGCCTTCATGATTCATCTGTTCACATAAAATGAACCCTTTAGCCATAAGCATCAGTACTTTGAACCACTTCCCACAGAAAACAAAATGAGTGGGTCATTGATTATTTATGGGGTATTTACAAAGTATTTATCATATTTTGTTGTATATAAGTGCACCTGTGTTTTTTGGCTTAAACTTTCAGGAAAAACCCTTTTGTTTTAATTTTTAATTCTATTTATTTATATTTAGAAACAAAACCGATTATTGTGTTCCAGGGTAGCATTTTGCATGTGGATACCATTAGTGCTTTCTAGAATTACACTTTTAATACATAAGTATAAGTAAAATAATTAACATTTACATAGGTATGGAATTAGTACTACCCATGTATAATGCACACCCTTATTCCTCAAAAATTTGGGCAAAAAAGTGCGTGTTTCATGTGGCAAAATATGGTACTTTATACTAATACTCAGTAATCATGAAGTGGCCTTATGTGGTAGAATGACAGTTGCTGAAGCATGACTAAAATCCTGCATGGAGCATCACAATTTGGGAAGGGCATCAGGATTTATGCACTAGGCTTTGCATTATGTGTTAAGACCCCTTTGCAGTCTGGGTTTTGTTTGTGACATGAAACAAATAGAGAAGTTGCACCTTTTAAATCTATAATCATTCTTATGTAAGATGTATTTGGATCATGGAGTTTTGAGGCAGACATTAAAACCAGAGAAACCTCCGACTATATGTCTTGCTTCTTGTCTACACTCCCTTAGTTAATCTCAAATGCTGCTAATCTGAAGATGCTTTACATAATTAAAGCACTCCGAGCTACTTGCAACACCTCAGTTTCTTTCTGACCTACAGTATGTTACTGCATTCCAAAGCAAACCATCTTCTGTAGCTCCGCTTCTCATGTCATGTTGAAGTGAAAATAGGGAGTCTTGAGAGAACTGGATTTAAATCATAGCTTTTCATATCTCAGTGACATTAGAAAATTTATTTAACTTCTTCGAGCCTCAAATTTTCTTGTGAAGTTTGAGTAAAACAACTTCTATAGTTTTATCAGCTTATTTTAGTTATATCTTCCATTCAAGGCACTGCTGTCTCACAGAACTTTCTGTGATGGAAATGTTCTATATTTGTAATGTTCAATATGGTAGCCATTAGCCAAATGTGGATATTAAACAATTAAAAAATGGCTGTGACCGAAGAATTTTTATAAACTTAAAAAAAAGATTTTATTTAATTATTTTTAGAGAGAGGAGATGGGAGGGAAAAAGAGGGAGAGAAACATGAATGTGTGGTTGTCTCTCGTGCACCCCCTACTGTAGACCTGGCCTGCAACCCAGGCATGTGCACTGACTGGGAACTGAACTGGCAATCCTGTGGTTCACAGCCTGGCACTCAATCCACTGAACCACACCAGCCATGGCAAGAATTTTATTTTTAACTGAATTTTAATTTACATGGCTGTGTGTGGTATAACCTACTGGACAGTGCAATTGTAAAAAATGAGAAGTAAGTGATAATAAAATTAGTTTCAGGTGTACAACATGATTCAATATTTGTATATATTGCAAAATGATCATCTCAGTAAATCTTGTTTAGATCTATCACTACACCTAGTTAATACATTTTTTTTTCTTGTGATGAGAACTTTTAAAATCTACTCTCAGCAACTTTCAAATATACAGTACGGTATTATAAGTGCAATTTTAAGGCTCACTTAACACATACATTTTTCTTCGTGCAGTCTTCCTTGCCCAGTGATTCTTTCCTGACAGTACTTGGTTTCTCCACCACTTATTTGGTACTTACCATGGACATTAATTTTCATGAGTCCTGTGTTTCCAACTAGATTATATTTGTGGTTATGAAGTTTTATTTATTTATTTATAAAGAGAAGGGAAGGGAGGGAGAGAGGAAACATTGATTCGTTCCCTGTCCATCAGGGACCTGGCCTGCAGCCCAGGCCTATGCCTTGACCTTAATTGAACCAAAGTTCACAGGACGATGCCCAACCCACTGAGCCATACCAGTCAGGGTGAGGTTCTGAAGTTTTTTGTCTCCACAATGTTGTGTGAAAGGGACATGATAGAAAATGTAATGCAATAATTTTAGTAAGTTTTAAATGATCATTAAGTGTAAGAGAAAAAAAATCTAGTTAATAATTGGGTGAAGAATAGGGAACAATCTGAAGGTGGCCTGCTATGATGAATTTTGGGCCCAGTCTGTTTCACTTTCAAGTTCAGATAACACTCAAGCTCTGGAAGAGAAAATTAAAATTTCTTATATTGTCATTTTGTGGCCAGCTTGGGCTGCAAGTGATGTGAATTCAATTTTGCTATGTCAAGGGAAGGTTTTCTTTAGTTAATTGTAAGGGTAAGTTCACCAATAATAAAGTTTAAATATAATGAATTTTTGGCTCAAATGAAATTGAAACATCATTTGAAAACACTAATTATTTTGGATTATTTTTTCATTTGTCTGAATCTTAGCTTCTCCCTTCCAACCCCCCCCCCCACCCCACACACACACTTTTGAAAGGATTTTTGTGAATTTGATGACTGGTTACATGTGTTCTACAGTCACAAACGTGTAGAGTTGACAGGCTGGCAGTAACCTATGCCACTGATGCCTCAACTCCCTGCATTTGTTCCCATGGCTGCCTAGCTCTGTAGCCAGCAAATGACCTTTTCCCTTTGCATACTCTTGTGCAATTGTTGACTGTTACAACCTTTCAGAAGTTGGGTAGAATTATTGTACAGTTTTGCCCAAACTTTTAAATTTCTAGCAAAAGCTGAGCTTGTGTAGAGGTTCTGGCCTAATCTAATACTGACTTCGGTCATTTGATGACATTTGGCAAATAGATGTGACCATTTATTTACATTACTAAATGGAAGTTCAGATAAAGAATGAACAATTTTCCTTGAGGCTGTATGGGTGTGGAGTAGGCTGGTATGCATTCAAGTCTTGTAATCATAACCTTTATGTATTTTTTAATTTTTTATTTTGCACAGATGAGGCTAGGTAGTTGATAGATCCTACAGTTTGACTCTCTTCCTAGATACACTAGAAGATGGATTCATCTGATACCAGAGGTAAGTGTGAAAAAAAAAAACCCCTTAATTTTTACCTCATTTGGATTTTCAATCACCTAGCAAGTTTTAGAGCTCAATGTTCTTGGTGGCTGAAATTTGGTAGTTGAGAAAGCCTTAGTTCTAACCTTAATAGGGTTGTCCTGGTTTGGGGACAAGGGATGGTGGTTTGCCCTTCACCAGTCATTTACAGTTTGCCATGATGAAATGCATGTTAAGTCCGTGTTTCAGATGATCATCCTGATTAAACACATGCTCTGAGCAGACTAAAGCTAGGGCAAACACTTGAACTGTATTGTTTCTTGGAATGCTTACTGGGATCTATCCCATGATCCCAAGTAATTCCTATATCTTTATAAATTTGATGCTACAATACTTTGTTGTGCTTTGATTTTTTGACCAAAAGATCTTTTTGAGATAGTCAGAATTAGGGTCAAGAATTTTTCATCAAAAAATTCAAACAGTACAGCCTTAGCTGTTGTGGCTTAGTGGCTTGAGCACTGGCCTGTAAACCAAAAGTTTGCTGGTTTGATTCCTAGTCAGGGCACATGCCTGCATTGCAGGCTAGGTCTCCAGTTGGGGACCTTTTTTCCCTCTTCTCCCCTTTCTTCCTCTCTCTAAAATAAATAAATAAAATCTTAAAAAAATTAAACAGTACAGAAAAAGCACCGTTAACTGGTATAATTCTATCAACTACTTGGTAGTTTTTAACTAATCACTATTTTACTAGTCTAAGATTAAGAGAATCCCTGAGTTGGTTAAATCAGTTTGTCAAGATCATGTAATGCAGCATTATCCAGTCACTTAAAAGTTATGACACAGTTTCATGTTGCTTGAAATGGAAGAGTATTAATAATATATTAAGTTAAAAGCAAGTGACAGAGCAAAACATATAATCTTTTTTCTGCTTAAACTTTTGTATATACTTATTTATTGAGAAATCATCTGAAAGGGTATACTTAAAATACTGAGGATTGTCTTTAGAATTGGGTCCTATGGGTGACCTTGTTAACCTGTATTTTCTAACTTTATTGCATTCGTATATTATATGATTTCAAAAGTTATTTTAAGCAGTCTATATGGGACAGACTTGTATTTTTTTTAGCCTGTGCCTACATGTTTCAGCAGAGAATAGAGGTATATATGAGGGTGAAATATAGGAAATACAAATAATTCCAAGTAACCTCAGCACTTGTAATACTTTTTTAGCTTTTGGCTATGTTTTTTATAGAAATGAAATTTCAGGAGGCCAGAAGTTTTTTTCTAGAAACTTCTTTCCCAGCCTTGAAACACTTGGGTGCTGTAAGTCCTGGATATACGACAGATGCCCACTGCATTCTTCTTTTATGGTAAGGCTTATGTTAAAATTGAGATATGTTGACACACACATGAATCTTTGAAAATTCAGCTTTGTGACATGGCTAGTTCTGCTAAGGGGCTACAAATTTAATTTTTTTAAAAAGTGAATTACATAAAGATGTAGAGAGGTAGCATAGTATAATAGTTATACATGGGTTCTGGAGTCAAACTGGGTTCAGACTCCTTCTTCTATCACTTAACCAGCTGTGTAACCTTGGCAAGTTTCTCAACACCTTGGTGTCTTAGTGTTTTTATATCTTAAAGGAAGAAAATACTAGTATCTGTCTCAAAGGAATAGTTCTTGAATTTGAAGAGTAAATTAGACAGTAAATGTGTGGGGCTTAGAACATTGTTAAACATATGGTAAACACTCAAAAGATGCTTGCTATTTTATCAGTGTTCATATGTATATTTATCTTACATTTTGCACTACCTGGCAATTTCTTACATCTGCATAACACGTTGGAGACTGTTTATTGCTTATCTGCATCTTCCAATTGGCCTCTTCCTCATTATCTTTTACCTTAAAGCTTAATTTAATTCTAGAATTAAGCAAATATGGTAGTAAGGACTATAGTGTGTATCTTTATATAATTGGTCAGATAACATTTTCTTTAGTTAATCATCTTTGCCACTGATTTATCATCTAATTCTTCATTTTTTTATTTAGCTACACCAGTTGATATTTAATGGTTTTTTTCATTCCTGACTGACTTTAAAAATTTAGGTGTGATCAAGTGTTTCCTATGAGTCACATGATGTTTTAAAAAACTATTTCTTAGACCATTTATTAAAATGTTTATTAAAATGATTGGAGATAAGCTTTGATGGCTGTTCCTCTCACTGCTTGGAGCCTTAGGCAGTGGGATTTTAGTCCATCATATATCTAAGCTGACTTGTCTTCACTCAGAGCACTGTGGGATGGGTTGGCTGTCCATTAGTGCCTTCTGATTTTTGCGGAGTCAAACAATTACAAAGCAGATGGTAATGCTGGATTAATAAAATTCACCTGTGATTAAAAAAAACTAAATTAATTTTAAAACATGAGGATTTAGGTGTTCTAAAAATTTTACTTATCAGTATTCATCTTTAGAGAGAGGGGAAGGGAAGGAGAAAGAAATGTCGATGAGCAAGAGAAACAGTGGGTTGCCCCTTGCACACCCCCAGCTGGGGACAAGGACCACAACCCAAGCATGTGCCCTGACTGAGAAATGAACTGGTGACCTTCTTGGTATACAGGCCAGTGCCCAATCCACTGAGCCACACCAGCCAGGGTGACATGAATATATAGTTTATAAAGAACCCTTTGATTGCAATAATATTTGAATAGCACCGATCTAGGCCTATGTAAGGAAGAGCTCTAGTGAATTACTGAAGTCACTTATGTTTAAATTTTGAATGGTTTACTTAGTGTTCTACCATGCGATTATTCACATATTCAGAGCAATATTAAAAGTACTCTTTTTTTTTGCAGTATGAAGATGAAGATGATTCTTCAAATTAAGAGGGAAGCTGACTTTTTTCATCAGAATCATTTACAGATTGCAACTTGCAATCAACTTGCAAAAAATATAACAGGCTGCAAACAAAGGAAAAAGTAAAATATTTTCATTTATCATCCTTATATTCTTTGCTAGATCGTAACTCCATGAAAGCAGGATAATTTCCTTATCCTTATCACGTGGCCTAGAATAAATGCTCAAAAAATATTTGAAATAAATCAACATCTCCATTGATTTTATTATTTTTTTAATCCCTGGAAAATGGCAATTATTTTAATGAGATTTCAGCAAGACATTTACATAGAATAACTGGGATGTAGGTTTTGACTCTTAATGAAAAGTGTATATAAGGTACATTAAACTATCAGGGTACCAGTGAGTTTACTTAAAACTTTTAATGTCTGGTTATGATGTTTGATCCTTTAAGAGGCAATAAAGGATGGCTGTGAAAACACCCTATGTATGTGAGAAATAGGTATATAAAAGCTTTCTGATATTTAAAAGAAAATCTTTTATTATGAACATTTTATAGCCTTACTGCATGGATATTTATCATTGTTTTAAATTGCACATAAGTATGGTTAAAAAGTCATTATTTCTGGTTTATATTTAGTGTTGAAATATTCTCAGTTGGCTAAGATAAAGTACAGGGAAGTTTTTGCCCTAGATACTGTACTTACATCCATGAAAGTATATTTAACATGCAAAGTGTAAAAAGTACACATTCAAATTTTGGAAGTCTGGTATACCTCACTGTGTTTTGGAATGAAATTTAATACTCATGCTTATACTGGAAGCACACAAATGATCGGCAACTCTGATAAATTCTGTTAGAATATGAAACCTATTCTTTACATTAAGATTCTTCCATTAAAAGTATCAAATTAGTTTTAAAGTAGATGATACTAACAGTCCAAGATTTAAAGATAATGGGAAGGAAAGTATCTCATAATATAGTGATAAATATTTAGAATATCTATACAAGATTAAAATCAAGCTTCTGGAAAAATGTCATGTTGAGGCCCTGGCTGGGTAGCTCAGTTGGTTCCAGTGTGGCAGTGTTGTGGGTTTGATCCGTGCCCAGGGCACATACAAGAATCAACCAATTATGCAATGAATGCATAAATGTAAGTGCGGCAACAAATCCATCTTCTCATTCCTGTCTCTAAAATCAATAAATAGAAATTTTAAAAATATATCATTTCTGAAAGGTGAATATAACTTGTAATTAAATGATGTTAGTGGTGTATAAGCACAACTTGTGCTGTAAGTTTATCTAGACTTTTTTTTTTAAATCTAGACTCTTTATGTTAAGAAAAATGGATTAAAGAACAAAAGGAGAACTTTAAACCTGTAGAAAAGCAAAGATATGACATTGGAGTAGATATAAGCACAAAAAGGAAAGTGATAAATTTGTGTGCCATGTAACTGACAAAAAATTCCTCATAACTTCTGTGACTTCACAGATGAGGACTTCTGAGTTCACATGAAAAGATGCTTAATCTCACTGCTAATCAGACTTACAAATTAAAACAACATGAGATAACCATTTCACTGCCATCAGATGGGCAAAAATTAAAACAGAAAACCTGACCCTTTCACATGCTGATGGGTCTGGAGCAAGGGGCTTTCATCTTCACTGGGGCACTGAAATTTAAGTCCTACTTTGGAGTGTGGTTTGCCAACAAGTAGTCTACTTGAAGATGCTTATACATTAACCCAATCTCTGGGTATTTCTACAAGAATGCTTGGCATGTGTGCTCAAGAAGACATGTCCAGAAAATTCATGTCAGTATTGTTTTTAACTATAAAAACTGGAAACCAGTGTCCATTAGAATATGCATAAATTGTATATTTGTAGTATTTGGTTGTTTAAATGAATACAGAATATGTGTATTAACTTGACTACATTTCAAAAACAATGATGAGTTAAAATGGCCAACTAATATGTACTATGTGATAAGATTTAGTTGTTTTAGAACATGAAAACAAAGACTGATATGTACACATATACATATGTACTCATATACACATAAAATCTAAAAACATGTATGAGAATGGTAAGCACCCAAATCTGGCTTGTTTTACTTCTGGAGTGGTAGGAGAAAATGTGGTTAAGGAATACACAGAGAAGCCTTCAATTGTATCTGTAATGTGTTCATTAAAATGTATCAAAAGTGAGAAAGGTTTGGGTTTATTAAAGCTGAGCAATGGTCATGTGTACATTTTTGATATGCTTGATATTTAATAGTCGATATTTTAAAAACTTTGGTGAGCCCTTGCTAGTGTGGCTCAGTTGGTTGGAGTGTTGTCCTGTACACTAAAAGTCTGGGGGTTTGATTCCGCATCTGGGCACATACCTAGCTTGTGGGTTCAATTACCAGTCAGGGCACGAATGGGAGGCAACCAAACTGTTTCTCTCTCGAACTGATGTTTCTCTTTTCCCCTCTAAAATCAATGTGTTTCAATGTTTCATATGTTTATATGAAAAAAATTAAAAACTTTGGTGAATGGGTCTCTTTGGTGAATGGGTCAGCTTTGAATGATTTCAGTGGTCTTATCTCTAGGAGCACCCTAGAAACAAGCCGGTAAAGGGTTTATCTATGCTATGAAGGAATAGGACACATGCCAACAAGAAGGTTAGTTTCTGGCGTTACAAACTACTGTGATAATAAGCCTTTGTAGGGCCCCCTTTAGACAGATGTGTGTGCGTGTGTATGTATCTATATCTATATATATGTATATATCTATATATATGGGTATATATATCTATATATATGGGTATCTATATCTATATATCTATATCTCTCTGTCTATATATATATATAACTCCTACAGGCTTCTGGCCAAATGGGTTGGGAAGAGGGAACAGAAAATGCTGTGGGGGACACTGGGTTTTGGGAATCAGTGGAATAATCTTAATGAACTAGGAAGGGATATTGCAGAACAAAGGTAACTTGGCTAGGATCGCCAAGTTAGGTACTTGTGCTGGTGAAATTTGGATGCCTTGTGTTTTATGACTTTAAATGGCATTGTATCCTTTTGTATTTTAATATTTGTACATTTGGCATAGTCAAATCCATAAAATGCACAAAAGGCTCAGATAACCAAAATAGATTTTAAGGATTACATGTTTTACACATGAACATCAATTTTTTAAATCCAATTTGTACCACTCCCTAAATTTTCAGAAGATAGACATTTTAGGAAGTGTAAAAAAAGAAAGAAAACTAGTAGAAACTTATTTAATTAGGATGGGTCTTTGTTTGAAGAAGAAAGGTTTACTATTACAGATTCATGACCCATAAAGGGTTTGCAGGGCTTGGGATCCATTATGTTGCTGATTCATTGGATTGCATCTTACAAATTCATATTGGAGTCACATTATCTGGAAAGATGACTACAAAAAACAGCATAAGGCTTATCTCTGGAGAACCCCTCCTCAGTTAAAATCACGCAGTTAGTATGGATCAGGAAAAGTTACAAGTATCAGCATTAGGGTCAAACGGGTACCAACATTTAAACCTGCAAGGTCAGGCAGGTTACCTCAAAAACAGCTATTAGCGCCTGATCCTGTTGCTTCATTTCAAGGGCTGTAATGAATGTTCTCAATCAAGGCAAGTTTTATTTTGTTTACATCTATATAGAGGTTGTGTAAAAGCTGAAAAGATGTCCATTTCAAGATGCACAAAAAATAACATGGAGGTGATAGCTGGCTAATTTTAGGTATGGCACAATTTAGGGGAATTTTTTCCTGAAACTAAGAAAGCCTGTGCTGCCCAGTTGCTACTCCGCACATTTTCCCAGGATAAACACCTGCGTGCACTCATAGGCAGCTCTGTTAGCTTCTTAACTAGCCGCCTTTGCCCTTCAAGAGACTGACATCAAATTACCCACATTTAAGGTGGAGGACCGTAAAAGGCACTTAATGACAGTGTCTGGAACTTCCAATTGGGAAACCTAGAACAGACTCAATTGGATTCATGTCCTCACAGCGCCTGAAACACGCATGCCCAGTAGGTGCAAGGCCCAAGTTGGGCTGCCACAGCTGGCAAATCCCAGCATCCTGAGTGGCTGGAACCCTTGTGCCCACCTCCCAGCAGGCGCTGGGGCGACTCTGCGCATGCGCTCTCACATAGGGGCCCCGCAGCGAGTTCCTGCGGAGGGAGTTGTGGAGGCAAGCGCGTTTTCCCGCCTTTTTTTGGCGCCTCGGGTTAGGTAGGTAATTAGAATTATTTCCTCTGACTAGCGCGGAAAACAGGCTGAAAATTTCAGAGTGCTGTTGCTGTGAATCTAAGCTTCAAAAATTTGGCTGTCGATAAATTTGCACAGCTCATTAAATTGGCGCTTTCCCTCATCTCGTGGGAAATTTGGAATAAGCTGCACCTCTCGCTCTTCCTGAGAAGGGTCTCAGCTTCAAGACTGTTCCCAGCTCTTCTGCTTCCCCCTTGCCCACGGCCCTGCTGCAGGTAAAATCGGCCTCATAATAAGGCTGCAGGTGCCATGTATGTGTCGCAGACTCAGTGCGGGGACATGGGGGTAAAGGCGTCACAGCGTCCTCGTTCCTCCCTGCGACCCAGGCAACATTCTTGACAGAATTTTCATTCGAGGACTGAACCTTTGTTTTCTTGGCGTCTGATCGGTGTGTGTGTGTTTGTGTGTGTTTGTGTGTGTTTATATATATATATATATCTTATTATATATATTATATATATAAATATATAATATATGTCTTATTTTAGTATATCTAGAGGATTGCTGCCTGGTGTGGGTTAGTAAAATTCCAATGAGAGTAGACAGTATAATTGAAAAGTAACTTTAACAATTTAGTTTTACATTAACATTTAGTTTTACCAATGTTTTAAATAGAAGCATACAGTTGAATAGTAGTTATATTAACAGATGAATTGTCGATCTCATGATTTAAAAAAATCTGCTTTTATACAGACTTTCATGCTCCTTAGTGGTCAATTATTTGAATGAATTAGGTTAGTTCCCATTTAATACTCTCAGGTTACTACTACTCTGTAGGTAAAGAATCTGAGAAATCAGCATATATGAAAAACCTTAAAATACTTTGCACAGAAGAAAGGCTAAAATCAGTTTCTGGACTTTTATATCTTCCAAGTGTGAGAATTAATGCCAAAATATTCTAGCAAAATGTGAATGGGGAATAAATTTGGGTTTTTTGTTTATGTACTGAGAATTATAAAAAGCACTAATTTAATTTTTTATTAGTTTGTTCTTTGTAAACTTTCCTAAACCTTTTCTCCCGTGTACATATTATTTTTGATTTTACTAAGATTTGGGATCACCTATGTTTTTGACTGGTTCATTAAAATTTTTGTCGAGACCTTTGTAGTGGTTTGCAAAAAGGAGCACTATTAATATGGTTGAGTGACTAAAATCAATATATTAATAATATATTATAATGCAAAAAACATAAATGTGCATTATTATCACAAAAGTAGAACTTTTTTGGTTTACATATTTAATTTTTACTGCAATTTGATTTATTTGACCTTTTCATTTACCCCTTATTAGGATTCGTTTCGGAATCTAGGACCTCAATATCTATTATGTCTTTGTGTGAAGACATGCTGCTTTGTAATTACCGAAAATGTCGCATCAAACTCTCTGGTTATGCATGGGTCACTGCCTGCTCTCACATTTTCTGTGATCAGCATGGCAGTGGCGAGTTTAGTCGTTCACCAGCTATCTGCCCTGCCTGCAACAGTACTCTTTCTGGAAAGCTAGATATTGTCCGCACGGAACTCAGTCCTTCAGAGGAATATAAAGCCATGGTACTGGCTGGTCTTCGACCTGAGATTGTGTTGGACATTAGCTCCCGAGCACTGGCCTTCTGGACATACCAGGTTGGTGCTTAGGCTAGTTTCTTTGGAGAGTGTGATTTGAGGCATATGTGGAAATTTCCAATTTTTTTCACTTGTTTTTGTATTTATTTTTTATGAATGAATGGAAAATTTTCTTTTTAATTATTTAAGTAACTATTTTCTTCAAAATTAATGTTTATTGTTGAAAATCCAAAAGAAAGAAAAATTTAAAAAACCATAATTCCATCACTCCGTGATAACCATTGTTGATATATTGTTGTATTATTACTTTTTCTGTATTTAAAATATAAATATATATTTTTATCTTTACCAAAGTAGGATAGTACCACACATGCTGTTTTTGTGGCTAGAAGTTTACTATATATTATGCATATTATGAAAATTGTATTGAATATTTTTTTTTTAGATTTTATTTATTTATCTTTGGAGGGGAAGGGAGAGAAATATCAATGTATGGTTGCTTCTGGTGCACCCCTTGCTGGGAACTGGTCCCTGCTGGGAACTGGCCTGTAACCCACGAATGTGCCCTGACTGGGAATCGAACCGCGATTGTCTGGTTCGCAGGCCCGCGCTCAATCCATTGAGCTACACCAGCCAGGGCTTGAATATTTTTAAAGTAAATTTTCTATAATCATAATTTTAATGGTTGCATTATATCATGATTTATTTCCAAGTTATTTAAAAATGATGTGATGAGCATTTTTCTTTTTTTTAAAAGATTATTTATTTATTTATTTTTAGAGGAATGGGAAGGAAGTGAGGGAGAAAGAGAGAGAGGAACATCTGTGTGAGAGAGCAACATCGATCATATGTGCCCTGACCAGGGACTGAACCCACAACTCAGGCACATGCCCTGACTAGGAATTGAACCTGGAACCTTTCTCTTTACAGAACAATGCCCAATCAACTGAGCCACACCTGTCAGGGCATGATGAACATTCTTAACATCAAATTCATGATATTTCAATGTTCTTTTTTTCAAACTTTATTTATTTATTTTTAGAGAGAGGGGAAAGGAGAGAGAAAGAAGTAGTGAGACATTGATGTACAAGAGAAATATTGATTGATTGCCTCTTGCATGCCCCCAAACTGGGGACCTGTCCTGCAACCCATGCATGTCTCTGCCTGGGAATCAAACTGGCAAACTTTCGGTCTGGAGGCAGGCACTTAATCCACTGAGCCACACCAGCCAGGGGTCTATGTAATCATAATTTAATGATTGTATTATATCATTATTTAGGTTATTAAAATGGTGTATCATCATTTTTGTCAGCAAATTCAACTGTAATTATTTCCCTTTTTGATATCTGCCTTTGGTGCCTCCTTAGAAAAACCTTCCTTGGAGAAAGAAATGGAGAACTTTAACCATATCCTTGATTTATATTCTTTTATGTATATTTATAATAATGCTTCTTAAAGGTTTTATTTGTCATCTGTGAGGTAAATAGTTTCATTATATTATTTTAGGGAAGATGTCTCCTTTACATACTCCTGTATCATCTTATGGTTACTTTTATTGTATTATTAATACTGTATTGTAATTACCTACATACTTGTCATCTCCTCTAGTTGGGAGAGTTCTTTGGGTTATGTTTGGATTCCTGTATATCACAGGGTCTTCAGTTACCATCATAGTTACTGGTCGTAAGTCTCAGTAAATAGTTGACTGAATGAATAGACCTTGTATATTAAAGTAGATTACTATTTGGGGGTTAGTATTTGTTGAACATGTACATGTGATACTGTTTTCATTATGTCAGATATGGAGGAAACCAGTGAATGGGTTAGTAAATTAGCCAGAAATGAATTTTCTTTACTTCATTTATTTATTTTATTTAATTATTCAACATATTTTTTGAGTCTCTTGTAAAATTTATATTTCATGCACCTTCTTAGGTGCTGGGTATACAATAATGAACAAAGCATGAGCTTCAAGGATGCTGCAATTTAGTGGTGCTAAACATTAAGAAAAAACAGCAGACAGACATTTACAATACATTTTTAATATCTACAATGATAAGGGAAGTGTAGAGTGCTGTGAGACTCCATAGTAGGGACAAGTAATCTAGACTTGGTGGAGTAACATCCAACTACATAGAATAGGCAAATTCAAAATGGTTTAAAAAAAAAGGAGAGCATTCATATTTCACTTTCTGTCAATATTTAAAAGGATAGTGAATCCAAAGATAAGCCAAAATTGGTTTGTATGTGTAAGTGAGTTGTCTTTGGCTATGTAACAAAATTAGTGGCTTAAAAATTTTTAGTTGCTTAAATTAACATGCATTTATTGTCTCAGTTTCTGTGGATCACGAGTTCAGGCTTGGACTGTGCTCAGGGTCTCACAAGGCTGTAATCAAGGTGTTGACAGGGGCTTCAGCCTGTGAACCTTGACTCAGGAAGGATCTATCTCCAGGCTCATGTGGTTGTTGGCAAGGGTCACTTCCTTGTGGACTGTTAGACTGAGGGACTCAGTAGTTGTTGTTTTTAAAGGACTTTATTTTTAAAGCAGTTGTAGGTTCATAGCAAAATTGAGAAGGTTCAGACATTTCCTGGCCTACACTGACATATCACTGTCACCCAAAGATCATAGTTTATGTTAGAGTTCTCTCTTTGTGTTATACATTTTATGAGTTTGGACAAATGTATAACAACATATATCTTACCATGATGATATACAGAGTAGTTTTAATGCCCTAAAAATCCTCTGTGTACCACTTATTCATCCCTTCTTACCCTCAAGCACTGATCTTTTTACTGTCTCCATAGTTTTGCCTTTTCCAAACTGTCATATAATCGGAATCATACAGTTTGTAGCCTTTTCAGACTGACTCCTTTCACTTAGTACTAGGCCTTTAAGGTGTGATAGTTTATTTCTTTTTAGTGTTGAATAATTTTCCATTGTATCACAGTTTATTTATCCATTCATTTCCTCAAGGACCTTGTGGTTGCTTCCAAGTTTTGGTAATTAACAAATAAAGCTCCTGTAAACATCTGTGTACAGGACAAAAGTTTTCTACTCCTTTGGATAAATACCAAGGGACATGATTTCTGGATTGTATGGTAAGAATAGGGTTAGTTTTGCAAGAAACTGCCAAACTCTTCCAAAGTGGCTGTAACATTTTGTGTTCCTACCAGCAATGTCTGAGAGTTCTTTTGGCTCCACATCCTTACAAGCATTTGCTGTTGTCATTGTTCTGGATTTTGGCTATTCTGGTAGGTGTGTAGTGGTATCTTATTGTTGTTTTAATTTCCATTTCCCTGATGACATTCGATGTGTAGTATCTTTTCATTTTCTTATTTGCCATCTGTGCATCTTAATTGGGTTGTTTTCTTATTGTTGAATTTTAAGGATTACTTGTACATTTTGGGTATGTCTTTTGCAAGTTTTTCTATTTGTTTGTGGCTCATCTTTTTATTCTCTTGACATTATCTTTCACAGAGTAGAAAATTTTAATTTTAATAAAGTCCAGCTTACCCTTTTTTTCATGGATACTGCTTTTGGTGGTGTATATAAAGTCACCACCAAACCCAAGGTCATTTAGATTTTCTCCTGTGTTATCATGTAGGAATTTTATAGTTCTATATTTTATATTCAGGTTTGTGATCCATTTTGAGTTAATTTTGTGAAAGGTGTAATGTCTTTGAGTAGATTCATTGTGATCTCAGTATTTTGCTGGCTGTTGCCCAGAAGCTGCTCTCAGTTACTTGCCTTGTGGGCCTTCCCTGCTGGCTGCATGCTTCTACAAGGCCAGCGAGAGAATGAGAATGCTAGAAAGACACATCTTATATTCTTATATAATGTACTCATGAAATGACATTTGTCTTTTTTTTTCTGTTTTAGTCACAGGTCCCCTCCACTCTCAGGGGTGGTGGAGGGGAATAAGTACCAAGAGGCAATCTTATTTGAGAAGCTATCTTATAATCTCCACAGTATGGTTTACTTGAAACATAGAATTGCATTTTTTAAAGACTTTTGGACTACATGTCAATTGCTAAGCTTAGACAAATACCCACTTCTTTTGTTGGTGTAATGGTAGTGGTTTCAGAGTATTCCTCCAGATTTTTTTTCTATGCATTCAGGGACATAACGTATTATTTTCTATAATAATCATCCTATTATACCTCCTGATTGCTTCTTAACCTGGTTCTAAACACTAATTATACTCCAGGATAAGCATTTTTCTTTTTGTATTTGTGTAAAGTTTTACAATATAAAACTTTTATTACCTTAAAAATCTTTTTTTCTTCTCTCTTGGGATAGGTACATCAGGAGCGTCTCTATCAAGAATACAAATTCAGCAAGGCTGAGGGCCATCTGAAGCAGATCGAGAAGATATATACTCAGCAAATACAGAGCAAGGATGTAGAATTGACCTCTATGAAAGGAGAAGTCACCTCTATGAAGAAAGTGCTAGAAGAATATAAGAAAAAGTTCAGTGACATCTCTGAGAAACTTATGGAGCGAAATCGTCAGTATCAAAAGCTCCAAGGCCTCTATGATAGCCTTAGGCTACGAAACATCACTATTACTAACCAGGAAGGTACCCTTGAGCCATCCATGATTTCACAGTCTGGTATTTTTGGCTTCCCATTAGGTAAGGAAAGACAGGTAATTAATTATCTAACATCTGTTCTTTAAATCAGTGATTTTTCACATTGTGTTTTGCATGGTGCCAAGTAGTCAATGGAGTCAAGGAGACTTCAAAGGCTCTGGATTCTTCATCCATGTCTATTCTGTACATCATTGCTTTATCTATTGTATTTGCTTATGTTTAAGTTACAGCTTCAATTTGAACAGAGAATGTATCTCTTCAAAAGAAAATGTTGTAAACTGATACTCTAAATGAAAGCTATTTAGTTGTAATAACAATAGTATTAGCTGCCATTTGATTCCTTACCAAGTGCTAGGTATTGTTATAATTCTATATGTATCATGTTATTTAAATAACTTTGTAGGGCACATATTATTATTATCCCTATTTTACAGATTAAAAAACTGAGGTACAGAAAGTTTAAATAAATTGGTCAAGGTCGCAGAGCTCTTGTCAGTGCCCCCACTTTTAACCATTTGTAACCTACCAAGAAGGGCGTGTTTCACTTACTTTCACAGGGTAATGCTGATTGCACAGTTCTTAAGTTATTGTGGGTTGATTTTTTCTTTAGTCATCCATTCATCAATTATTTATCAAACATGTTTTATGTTCCAGGTTGCTAGGAATAATTCTAGGCAATGAGAATGTAAAGATTATGCAGATAGGATTCGTGTCCTCTGGAAGTGCACATTCTAAAGTGATAGTAGCCCTATTCTGCTTGTTAGGTGCCTTCACAGATGCAGTGAATCAAACATTATTGTATATGGGCATTGTAGGTTTTTATTTTTTCCTTGTCACTATGCACATTTATTTTGATTTCTTTCATATTCACCAATTCTTTCTGTTCCTCTTTTTGTGCACAATTACCTGTTTACTTTTACCTCTTACTACCATTTTTGGCTTGAAGCAGATATAGTCAGCATTCTTCTTTAGTTATGTGTTCCTTTTAAAACTTGTAGAAACCCAGGGGGGATCCAATGGAAGTTGTTAAATGCTTGTTTAATCAGATCTGTTGTCTGACTTTTCTTAAGGCTATTCCAGTTAATCTCAGGTCTTGAGTATGTGCCAGTTTTTCAAGTTGTCATATATTTTCTGGAGTATTTATGGCAGTCTTAAAAAATTACTGTTAAATAACCTGGGACAGAAGATTGTATACACACACACACACACACACACACACATATATATATTCTATTCCTTTGAACTAGATTAAATAACAAATGAATAAAATTATGATATTGTAAATTTTAGCTCTACTAAAAACATATTTCATTGTGTCAAATTACTTTTGGTGATGAGGTGATGGCTATAATTAGAAACTGCATCACAGAGGAAGGTATAATATATCCTGTGGTCGAGGAGAGGGTTTGGAGGCCATTGATGGCCCTTTCTTGATCCAAGATTAGTTTTATATTTTGTCCATCTTGTATGAGGTGAGTTCTGTTAAAATATTTATTGAATGACTTTTATCTTTTGGCTCTAAATATCTGTAAGTAAATAGATGCTTACGTTGTTCTCCCTCTTTTTTTTCCTTTTAGGGAACAAATCCAAGTTTCCTTTGGACAGTACACCAGTTCAAAATCGTGGTGGTGGAGATGGAGATTTTCAGTTCAGACCATTTTTTGTGGGTTCTCCCACAGCACCTGAACCCAGCAACACCTTTTTTAGTTTTGCATCCCCAAGTCATGAATTAGAGCAGCAGCAAGTCTCTAGCAGGGCCTTTAAAGTAAAAAGAATTTAATTCACATTCCAGATTATTTCCCTGTTTAGTTTCAGTGACTTCATTTAGTAAATAATCTTTTAGATAGGAGTCACCAACTCTGTGTGCTATCAAGTCTTTGAAGTTGTTTTCACATTTTTAAGAAACTCAATGGCACTGAGAATGGCTTTACAGTCTGATTTCTTCTGTTTCCATTATTTAAGAGCATGAGCATTTTATTAAACTTAATTTCATTGTGAGTTGTTGAATTTTTACTAGTAGTGGGAAGGTCACAATATTATTGGGTGTTTTGTAGATCACGATATGTTTCTGTCTGAGCTATTTCAGACTGAGCTATATGTTTATGCATATGCGTAAAAGCAACTATATTATGTACTATATGTCACTTTGGGTTTTGGCATTTATGCCTATATATATATTCATTTATGTTGATATTTTGCTATGTTTGCCAATGTATTTATGTGAAGCTTTTGGCCTCAGGAAATGGTAAGGTGTGTCTGCAGTTTGTTACTTGCATTTATACATTTATTTCTACATGTTTATGTATTTGCCCTTGTATTAACTTGTTTGGAGTTTTTGTGCTTATGTCAGTGAATGAGAGTATAATTTGATGTACAAATTTGATAATTTGATCAGTCCTTATTTCTACTTAAAAATAGTTTACATTGATAAAGTTATTTTGTGAAGTTGAATTTTGACCATTTATTTAAAAATAAAATTGCTCTTTCTTTACTGTTTTGCCAGCTGTTATCTTGGGTTTACTTATTTAGGAATGTACTTCCACTGTAGAAACCTTTCAATATGTTATTGATCCCAAGAGATCATAGTAAAATACTTTTAAAGATTTATTCCCTGTTCTCCTATATTAAACAGTGAACACATTTCTGACAGAAAACTTATTTGAAGTATAGAGCCATGAAAGAAATTTGAAGGACACTTTTTGTGACTCTGTCCTATAAGAGGCAAGACTGGCTGGAGAGATAGAACATCTGGATTCTAATTATGGCTTTTATGGTTGTGCAAATTTGAGTTTAAACTTTCCAGGCTTTGGTTTTTATATCTGTAAAATGGGGAACTGAATTAAATTATCTAGTAAGCCTTTTGTAATTCTTAAGTTTTAGGATCCATTCATATTGGTTTGGAACGAATTACAATGGAATTATTCCAAATGTCAAATCCCATTGTTTTTAGGTAACAAAGTCCTACTGAAATAATTTGAGGATATTTTATATTTAGTTATTGTAGAAAGGCCAGTGAATACCCTTGCTTTACATAATTGAATAGCAAGCAAGCAATGTTTTCTTTAAGGGTATATTTTCACCACTTAAAGGGCCAGCACAGTCTTAGAATGTATGCAAACCCACCCATTCTGGGCAGCAGCTGGAAGGGCACCAGTCACACATGGGAAGGGGATGAAATGACTAGAAAAGGGGTGAACTCCAGGCAAACCCCCAGAAGCCCAGGGGGGTGGTATCCCCTCCCTGAGCTGTTTGCATATAACCACAAAATGGTGAAGGGAGTTCCCACCTTAGCAATTACCCAAGGTTCCATCCACCTACTAAGGGAGTAAAGCAGCTTTACCTAATATACAGAAACAAACACAGGGAAGCTGCTAAGTAGAGGAGTCAAAGAAATATGGCCCAAATGAAAGAACAAAACCCAAGAAAAAGAACTAAGTGAAATGGAAATAACCAATCTATTAGATGTAGAGTTCAAAACACTGGTTATCAGAGTGCTCAGAGAACTGCTTGAGTATGGTAAAAAAAATAGAGGAAATGAAATTTACACTAGTGAGATAAAGAATAATGCACAGAAAATCAGCAGTGAGGGGAAGGAAGCCAGGATTCAGATCAACAATTTGGAACATAAGAGATAAACATTTAACCAGAATAGAAAGAAGAAACAAGATTTCAAAAAAAATGAGGAGGGGCTTAGGAACCTCTGGGACATCTCCAAAATTGCCAACATCCAAATCATAGGGATGCCAGAAGGAGAAGAGGAAGATCAAGAAATTGAAAACCTACTTGAAAAAATAATGGAAACTTCCCTAATTTGGTAAGGAAATAGACATATGAGTCCAGGAAGCACAGAGTCCCAAACAAGTTGGCCTCAAAGAGGACCACACCAAATCACATCATAATTAAAATGCCAAAGGTTACAGATAAAGAGAGAATTTAAAAGCAGCAAGAGATAAGCATACAATTACTTACAAAGTAGTTTCCATGAGACTATCAGCTGATTTATCAAAAGAATCTTTTCAGGCAAGAAGGGACTGGTGAGAAGTATTAAAAGTGATGAATAGCAAGGGCCTACAACCAAGTTACTCTATCCAGCAAAACTATCATTTAGAATGAAAGGGCCCTGGGTGGTGTAGCTCAGTGGATTTAGCCTGGGTTGTGAAACAAAGGGTCGTTTGATTCCCAGTCAGGTCACATGTCAGGTCCCCAGGCCATGTGAGAGGCAACCACACATTGATGTTTCTCTTCCTCCCTTTCTCCCACCCTTCCCCTCTCTCTAAAAAAAAAAAAAAAAAAAAAAAAAAAAAAAGAATGGAAGGGCAGATAAAGTGTCCCCAGGCAAGGTAAATCTAAAAGACTATATTACCACCAAGCATTATTACATGTTAAAGGGACTTATTTAAGAGAGGAAGATCAAAACCATGAACCTTAAAAAAGCAAAAAATATACAACTATCAACAACTGAATCTAAAAACAAGAAAAAAAACCAAGAAAACAACAGAACAGGAACAGAATCATAGATGAGGTCATTTGGCAGGTTATCAGCTGAGAGGGGAAAGGGGGAGAATGAGGAAATGGTGCAGGGATTTAGAAGCATAATTGGTAGGTACAAAATAGGCTGGAGATGTTAAGAACAGAATAGGCAATGGAGAAGCTATGTGCACAACCCATGGACATGAACTAAAGGGGTGGGACCACTGGGAGGAAAGAGGTTACCAGGTGGAGGGAGGCAAAGGAGGGAAAACTGGGACAAATGTAACAGCATAATCAATAAAATATACTTAAATCCCCCCCAAATATTGTGCCTGTGGACCCTGAAAAAGAAGATGCCTACTATGAAGGGTTCCTGGTGGCTAACTGGGCTCAAATTAAAAAGAAAAAAGAACCCCAGAGTCTAGCCACCATTTCTATGCAGGGACCTTTCACACAAACTGCACTTTAGGGAGAAGCCTGCACTTAAATATCTGCCTCTGCTTGAACTGCTAGCCTGTATTGTGTTTCTGCCATCTGAGCTGGCCCTTGTAAAGGGATTCCTGGAATTCTGTCTCAACTAGTAAGACTGAGGCTTTCCCTGTTCCCTTGGAGCTGCAGAGCTATATCCCCATCAGCTTCTTCATTGATCAATCAGAATGGCTCCATTTTGACCAATCAGAACAATGCTTTTTGAATCAATCCAAGTAAGAATTTGAAGTCCTCATTTGAATCAAGACAGACCAATCAAAGACCAGGGCTGGGACTTCTGTCCAGTTCACCTGGGGCTCTGAAGCTCACTTTCCCTTTCCACTGAAGACTGGAGACTTTAGTTCCAGTTGTTTTTTCCATCGAAGCTGAAACACAGAAATGTCTTCCCAGAGCACAGTGTAGTAAACCAGTACAGGGCAGAGCAGATCAGTGAGGTCACAGCAGAGATGTCTAATCAGAGAGGGGCCTGGCCCCAGGGCTGCCTCACAACTGTGCTATTTTCATAACTGTGCTATATCACAATCGAGCTGTTTTGCACTGAATAAAGTTTCTTTCTTCACCACACCCTATACTGGAGATTCCTGTTGGTGTTGAACTGGGGCCAAAGACCATTGGTTGATGTGCCTGAGAAAGAGGATGAAAAATCTTGACTTAAAACTTTTAAAACATCCCTCCCTATTTCATAGCAATCACACAGATTTTTATAGATTACAGTACAAAGTATTTTTCTTCCATACACAATTTTAAATTTTGTTGGAAAATTGTGTGAGGATCTTTAATGTACATTCATGATTTCTTTCTTGAACTTTTGTTTCTTTAATTTCACAGAATCAGTCTGGAGTACAAGTAAGCTATAATTAAAACTAAAAAGTAAAGAGAAACATTGTTAGGACTATTACATGCTATTTTTAAGAAAGTTACTTATGATTGAAATTTTTAATATATTCATATGGTATAAATTCAAAAGGTACAGAAAAAGCACCTGTTTCCCAGACACTCACTTCCGTTTGCTGGAAGCAGTTACTGCTGTCAGTGTCTTGTGTATCTTTCGGAGATAATGTATGTGGAAGTATTTTTTTAAATTTAAAGATTATGCTTATTTTTAAACGATTTTATTTATTAATTTTTAGAGAGAGGGGAAGAAAGGGAGAGAGAGAGGGAGAGAAACATCGTTGCAGGAGAGAAAGATCACTGGTTGCCCCTTGTACAAAACCCCAACTGGGGACCAAACATGCAACCCTGGCATGTGCCTAAGTGGGAATCAAACCAGCGACCTTTTGCTTTGCAAAGTGATGCCCAACCAACTGAGCCACACTGGTCAGTGCTGTGCTTATTTTTGAGTAGCCAATGCATATACAAAATAAAAAATTCAAAAGTGTACACAGTGAAAATTTTCTTTGCTCACCCGAAACTCTCAGTCTGCCTGTTTCCCTCTCCAGAGACTTTCATTGTTTCTTATGTAACCTGCATATATACTGCCTGTCAATTGTCAATAAGTATTACTAGTGTACTTATATACCATTAGTGTACTACTAGTGATGGCTTTCGTAATACCACCCCAAGTGTAGTAGATTTATTAGGATAGTGTGTTCAAAATGATAAAATTCCTCATACATAGAGAATCACTGTAAAGTTTGAAAAATATTCAGACAAGTTCCCTTACCACTGTACTACATTTCCTTCAAATTTTAAACTTGTAACACAGGCATCCACTGTCTTAAGCTGTCTTCTTTTGGGGTGATATTATAATCCTGATATAAGTAGGGGAATATGAGACAAAAATATACATACAATTAAGCTGAGAACATATTGTTTCCAGGATTTTGGAAATAAACATCTTTATGAACTCAAATGATTATAGAGCATCATCTCCTTTGATCTTTGGTCATTGGATTGAGTTGGTTTGGAGCAATACGCTTCCATGAAAACCAGCTTTACTCAGGTGCAGGTAAGCCTCCGGCTCCCTAGATGTCGCTGTGGCTCCATAATGAGGGTAGGGATGAGACTCTCTGGTTATGAAGTTGGGGGCGGAGTAGCGAGAGTGGCCGGGAAATGATGGCTGATGAAGAGGAAGAAGTTGAGCGGATCTTGCAGAAATTGCAGGTGGGGGCCATAGGTTAAAACCTGTATGTTCTTTTGTTATCGGGGAGAAGCAGGGAACCCACTTTATGCAGTACCCATGAGTTTCTTGGCACCTGCGGGACTCTGCGTTTGTCCGTACGGTTACTATAACAACTTCCGAAGGTGCAGCCGCAGCCTGCCCAGCAGCCTCCCTGGCAGAGACGCAGCCCCTCTATGCGTTGGGACCTCCTGCTGCCGATCTGACCTAATGTCAGCCCTGTATGCTAGAGGATTTGTTGTTCCTAACTTTACTCCTGCACATTCTTGTGAAGTTTTTTCCCCTCGATTCACCCGTAACAAATTGCA